CTATCTAAGCTGTCGCTAAAAAACACCGACGAGGTTTTTAGCGATGGTTACTTGACCGTTGCTAAAACGTTTTAGCAACGGTTTTTTTATCTAGCGACGGGTTTGCCGTCGCTAAATCCCATTTATCCGGTAGTGATAAGTATCTGTTTAAGCTCCGGTTTTGTTATTTCTTTTCCATGTTCAAGAACTAGCTCAATCAATGAACGATCCAAATGTAGCGAGGCCTCTTTTTTGGAGCATATTTTTTTACCATCGACTTTACATGCCAATATTTTTAACGAGTTCTTGATCCCAATCCGAGTGCCCACTACTCCATTACCTCGGAGTTCATATTTCGTTGTTTATTTGATTGTTATCCTATGTTTTGCATTTTAAGAGCTCACAACAAGTCTATAAATAAGAGTTTTCATTCTTTGTGCAACTTTTCATTTTTTTAGTTTTAGTTCTCTTTTCCGACAACAAAGGAAGATAAGAAACTCGTTATAGCAAAAGCCGTATCAGCATACACTATCTTTAATTACAATGTTACTTTGACTCTTTAGATATCAAGTGAGGAAGCTATTGAAATTGTTAAGCTGCTTGCCTTAAAAAAAAGGCTTGTTGGTAAGCCGATAAGCACTTACAATCTCGTTTTATGGTATTGAAAAATAAACGAGTCCACCTTCTATTATCACTTAGAGACTTTGAAGTCGGTCTACATTGCTTTCAACTTATGATGATTTTATTTATTTTTTGGCTAAATAGGTAGGGATTTCATCGGGTGTTGCGAGCAATCTGCTGCAATAAAGGTGGCAAAGAGGCTAGAAAATGCTTGGGAAACTCATTGTCGTAAGTGCGATTGTATTCTTTACATTTGGCACTTGAATTTTCTTATATTTCAATATCTTTATATAAATAATTTTTGCACCTTGCTCATACTCTTACCTATTTCATTGGTGGTTGCTTCAAGTTGACTTTTTCCATTACGTTTGAATGCATATATTAAAGTTAATTGTATTTACTCGGTCATTTTTTCGCTCTCCATGCAGGTGATTTTCTCGAGTGTCTGGCTAGCGTTATTTGTCTTCGTATCTGTTTGATTCCATTGAGCAAGAGGTAGAAAAGATGACCTATGAGAATCGGATGCTAGTCGATTAAAGAATAATGTTTCATGTCCGAATTATCCAAGCTCGATTATTCTTGCTTGTGAGTTTTAATTTGACATCGGAATAGGCGGTGTCTTTGATGAATTTGATTAGTGTTGCTTACGGGTTGCGTAGCAATTAACTTTTGTTTGAAATTGCGGTTGTTCGATTCTTAACTATTTGTGATGGCTCCTTTCCCGAGGTTGGGAAACTAAGTTCGGAGAGGAAAATTGACTTCATTTGGTGATTACTTGTTGGAATGCGGCCTTTTATATTTTTTGTTTCTCTGTTAAGTTTCTTTTGTATGTTTCTAGTCATTCTCTTTCACCGGACAACGACGAGGAATCGTCACTTATATATTTTTTTAATTCACATACCCAAGGCCCTTAGTAGATAAGTATATTAGGATTTGAATCCGTGATCTCTTATTTATAAGAGGTCACTACCATTTAGCTATAAGCTCTTTAGTAATGTCATAAACATATTCCTCGGTGAAATTTTGTAGCAAAAATTGAAATCCTATGATTTTCCTGCATTGAGAAAAATCCGCGAGTCATAAAATCTTAACCAACTTTGTTTAAGTCATCCTACGAATTTCATTTTAATCGAATCAATTATTCTTTTATGATAAACCATTTTATGAACTAAAATCCTCTTTCATGATGCTTCCTCTAGTTTGTACATACGCATGTTTTGTTTTTAATTATAAATAGAGTGCCACTCTTCTATTCATTGGTAACAGTTGGTGTTTATCCGTAGTTTCATGCAATCTATGCTCACATTCCCTTCGAGCGAAATAATTTTAGTACTCAACTTTTTGTTTTTTATTTTTTTTAACCCACAATCACCTTAGATTGAAAAATATTGATGTGTATACGTTGAACTAATTGGTGACGAGTTTTTAATTGACTAATGATAAAAAAAATAGGTTCCACCTAGATTATTAAGGAAAAAAAATACAATTTGAGTGCCTAACTTTTATTATTTTTCTGTTTAAATATCCAACATTTGATTTTTTTTTATTTGAGTTTCCTCGATATTTGAGAATCCAATTTTTTTTTTTTTTGAGTTTTTTTAGGCATTGAGACTTAGAAAATACTAATATGAGCTCAACCACTAACACGTGATAGTATGAAAGGGACATATAGCAAAAAATAGATCACAAAAAAATAATTGATAAGAATTAAAAAAATTAAAATCAATTACTTTAGCAAAATAATCTCGAATTGTGTAAATAATCTAAGGTTAAAACTTTTGAATTAAGTAAAAAAATAATTTAAATGATGGTATATTGAAAGAATTTAAGAAAGTGGTTTGCAAACTTACTTGGATTCATCAACCAATAGCAATCAATTTTGATTTTTTTTTAATTATTACCGATTATTTTTTAAAAAAAAATTTATAATTTTATTATGTTTTTCGCAATAAATTGGAGAAGAATTCACTTTTTATTATGTGTTAATTATAAATTATCGTGTCATTGAATCTACATCGGTGTTTTTCATTTTAAAATATGAAAAATATTAAAAATTAGACGATTAAATAAAAATTTAAATTGCAATTAAAAAATTGATTAACAATTAAGCATTCAAACGAGAAAAAAGTATTAAATTACAATTTTTTTCAATAAAAAAATAACTTATTGATTAAGCTTTCAAATAGAAAAAAACGGCCTAGATTTCCATTTTTTTGCATTCGAAACAGTTGAACTAGAATTATGAGGAGCTTCTCGTCCAAAGGAAGAAAACCTTTCAAATATAAGCACATGCCACTATTTGTGGCGAGCAAATGGTATTCTTTAGTAAAAGGAGAAAGAATAGTTCGCTTTGTGCCCACCGCGTGGCTGCGTGGTTGAACTCTTGTGCTTGCTAAGCATCTTCAATGAACTTGTTGACGGCTCATTTTCTTCTTATTTGAGGTGGGATGTTGAAAATGGCATCCAAACATGCCAATGAAATGTAGTGCAATGCAAGATGAGTAACGAGCTAACAAGGACTTCAAGATTAGAAACATGCCATTGCCTCGACTCCAAATCTCCATTGATGAGACCAATGAACTATAGCTAGCAATGCCGGATTAGCAACAACGATTTCATCAAAATCAATCTACCATCGTCCGAACACCAATGAATTAGTATCGTAGCCATGATGGTTAAGTTAAAGAGTATTTCCTCGAGAATTTTTAAAATTAGGTTTATTGTACTATACAAATAAGAATTATACACCTTTTACTGTTTATGGCACATTCTTTCAAAAGTGTATGAAAACACATATAAGCTATATTTCGATAACAATTTTAGTACGAGAGTCATTTTTCGTCCAAAATTTTGAGTTCATCTAACATGGCAAGACAAGTTAGATGATATCTTACATTAAAATACATATAGGATGACACGTAGATTGAATTATAATTCAATTATGATGGACGACATATTGTTTGTTGGTTATTAAAAATCAATTCCTAAAACTAACTAACCTAATTCAATTCAAATCTTAAAAAACTAAAATTCTAATTCCTTCTCTTTTCTTCTACGATCGATTGAGGAATAAGCCGACCCAAATCCATAATCTTCTTCTCTTATTTGCCCGACGAACAAGAACTCCAATCTTCTTCTCTTTTTTTGTGCATGATGAACGGGAACTTCAATCTTCTTCTCTTCTTTGTAAACAACGAAGAAGAACCAAAACCCACACCTCCATCTACATACATCCCAAAAACCCATGAATATTCACATAAGTCCACTAGTCATTAACCATGTCATAACCCAAAATTTTAGGTTATTTTTAGTTAATTAGTTTTAAAATCATCCAATATAGTAAGTATGTGTCTTTTAAAAATTAGTGTGACCTAGAATAAGAAATTCATAAAAAAAAAATCTTCCTTAATTATTAATAAATACTATAGTATTAAGAAAAAATAAAAACAAAACTTACAATTATAACATATTTGAATGTTGATCATTTGGAATTTTTTATTATCGGAAATTCAAGGTGTATTGTCCTGGAAAGTTGAAAGTAGTCCTTGGGTAAAACCGAGTAACTCGTTAGAATCTATTTTTAATTCTCAATTTTTATGATTTTTTGCAAAAGTACCTTTTAAACATTTTTGTTCAATCAATTTGATTTTTTTTTTAAATTTAAAGTTTTTATTATTTTTTAATGAATTTTGATAATTTTTGTAAGTTATTTCTAAGCATAAAAAAGAAAGAGAAAAAAGAAAGAAAAAGGCATAATTTTAAGAAAGAGGCATATGGATGTCAATTGAAACAATTGATAGAATAGGGACCAAAAGGTTTTAATAGGAGGGCATAACTGGAAAAGTAAAAAATCCAATAGCCTTTAATTGAAAACGAATTCGGCCAAAAGTAGAAGAAGTAAAAGAAAGGGGCTGAAACAAATTCAATTTGCAGTGAAACTGAAAATAAATAAAAGAGTATGGCATTAAAATGAAAATGACGGGATACATTAGGGACTAAATCGAAATTGGACCACTCAACCCTAAAACCTATATAGAACACCTCCATTCTTCTTCCTCGTTCAAGCCGACCCTAGAGAGAAAAGACCCTCTGTTCCCTTCACCGCCACACTCCATCGTCGCCACTTCCAGCCGTGCGCAGCCACCAAAAACGAGCCACCACTGCCAACCATCTCTACTGTCACCTCTTTCCAGCGGCCAAACCACCAAAAACCAGTCCTCAACAGCCCCTACCATCAGCAGGCAAGCCCCCGCTAACAAAGCCAAGCCTCCATCAAACCATCCCTCTGTCAGCAACTCTATTAATGCCAAACAATTGTATAGTCTTCTTCTCCTCTCCTTTTTCTTTATGGAAAATCCGAACCCAACCCACCACTTGCAACTTTTCTAATGTGCATTAGCATGTTTGCACGAATACTGAAAAAGTTGTTAGAAAAAGTTGTGAGTTGTGGGTTCAGGTTTGGATTTTCCAAAGAAGTAGGAGAGGAAGAAGACAATCAGTACAGTACAATCGAAAGCGATATTCGAGACAAGGAAAGGCAGATTCTGGAGTTGGGAACAATTGAAAGTGATGGATGCCTCTAACCATTCCTGACAGGCTGAATTGAGAGAACACACAGAACAGTACAATCAGCTTTGACTTGGTTGTCAAAGACAGGTAACTTGCTTTCTTCATCCTTTGCACTTCTTTTTCGTCAGTGGTTTATATTACTTGGAATTGAGATACGTAAACACGAGTGATTGTTGATTTTCTAGATATCTTATTCGTATAGTTGATGCTGTGTAATAGTAGTGATTTGAGAAACTGTGAAATGTTAAACAGGCTTGTGAAGTGGTTGCCGGTATTTCAATGCTGTGTGTATTTATGTATGACTTGGATTTAGCTCGGTAAATATTGAGTTAACTGATTTTTTTTTGTTTGTTATTGCTTGAACTCGATGAAAAATGGTTAAAGATAAGATTTAGTTGTTTTGTTTTTAAGATGTGAGCAACTGATTGTGATGCTTGATTTTTAGCTTGACTTTGGTTTTTCATGATTTTAATCTATGTCTGATGTGGTTTGCTAGGTTTAATGCATTTTCCTGGTTTTGCCTGACTAATTTGATGTGGTTTTGACTGGAATCGGGGCCAGTCGTGGTTGCCGATGGCATGGCTGGTGCAGTTATGTATTAAGTGATCTGTGTTGGCCATGACAATCTAATTGGTGAAATTATTCGTTTGGAAGGAGATTCTGCTACAATACAAGGTTATTCACTAATGCGAGATCTCGATAGGTAGAATTATGTATTTTGTGCATCGTCCATCTCATTTTTGAGTATTTTACTAAATTAATATTATGTATCTGCTCTGCTCACTCCTGGATCCCTTTTTGTAAAACAGAAACGAAACATTTTTCTTTGTGTTTACTGAAGTTCCTGAAATAGAAATGAATGTTTTTGTTCCTTACTTTGACAGTGTATGAGGAGACAACTGGTTTGACTGTGAACGACCCTGTTCTTTGGACGCACAAGGTGATCTTACTATCTCGTCTTGTCAATTTTTTTTTTTTTTTTCTGGATGGTATTATGATTGCATTAGCTTGTAAACTGTATTTTGATTTTCCAGCCACTATCTGTCGAGCTGGGACAAGGAAATATTGGGGAATATTTTTGATGGAATTCAGGTTTGACATTGCTTGCATTTTTGCCAATCCAATTAGTAATTGGAATTACATATTGTTTTCTGTTAATCAGAAACCTTTTCCAGAAGCCTTATAAGTGTATACTTTGCTCTACTTAATAACTTTTTATTATAAAAAAATTGGAATTTTATGCTTTGCTCTCTCACTAGCAATATTTAGTGGTCAATCATCCACCCAAGTTTTGTTATCAAAACAGAGGCCTTTGAAAACCATTGCAAGAATATCCGGTAATGTCCATTTTTCTCATGGATTCTCTGTTCCTGCACTTGACAAAGACACACTCTGGGAATTTCAGCCTAAAAAAACAATGGTTGGAATGTTGTTGACAAGTGACAATGGTTATTCCTTCAATTTCTCAAGTAGGATTCGACTAACTTCAGTTATACTAAATGTTGGCAGGTGAGGGAGATCTTGTGACTGGTGGAGACTTGTATGCTCTAAGTTCTTTATTTGCACCTTTTTGAATTGTAGGCTTTTTTTAAAAAAAAAAACGTGTAATTTGAACGTCTTTATTTGTTTATTATTAATTTATTCATTTTTGTGGAGTTTTAACATTAGGATTTATGTGGATATTTTCCATTGCAGACCGTATTCGAGAACATTCTAACGCAGCATCATGTTACCCTCCCTCCTGATGCTTGCGGGAAAATCACTTATATTGCACCTTCTGGTCAATATTCATTGAAGGTTCGTCTCTTGCTTTTTAAAATGATTATTACACAATAATGCATCTCCTTTCCACTTTTTTATTGTATGATATGGATCTGCATGTACATATAACATTGATATCGAGTTGCATGGGTTTTTCTGTATGCTGAACTTGGGAAACACCACAATGATCTGAAACTGGATACAAATTGCATTAGTATTAAAGAACTTGTCATGCACAAGATTAATACTCTCAAAAGCTATTTTTTCTGAGCCTTCATCCATGATGACTGTTGAATTTCCAATGCGAAATTATTATTTGGCCTGACCATCTATCTTCTTCTACCGAACTCATTTGTCTCCTCGGCATACCTATATATACAGTTCCCTTGAATTTGTCTCGTTCACAGCCCACAAAAGTCGGAGGTACGATTGAATTATTTCAATTTTTCACAGTATCTTCATAAGATGGAAAGTTTGGAAGAAATTAGTCGAGTTAAATTAGTGTTTTTCAAACGTATGAAAAAGTATGTTGAGATGGAGGTGATTGAGTTGCAAGAAATTCGTTGACAATAATTGGAGGCAGTATGGATTTGTAAAGCTATATTCACTAGAATCAGGAGCGTTTATGTTTGACTTTCCCTCCTCTCACCACAAGCAGTTGATTATAGTTAAAGGACCTTGGTTTTTTGAGGTACGACCTCTCATATTGAAGCCATGGACACCAGAAGTGAATTTGTGTAAGGAAGATGTCGAGTCAGTAGCTCTTTGGTTTACATCATCCGCTCTGATGTTATTGACATCGGTATTGGGCTACTGTTAGAATAGTTCAATTCATGCAAATAAGCCAAAATATGCATCGAATGGGAACCTGTGTGAGTACTCATATTTGATAAGATGGGCTGCTGTTGTTGTTATATAATCAAACAAATGTTCTTACTCAACAGGACAACCCAAAGAAATTGCATTACCCATTTAACATGGGTCTGGACAGTAGCTGGATTTTCTCTATACAAGCAGAACTACCAACTTATTGAAAATAAGAAATCCTCTAATGCCATCCGTGTATATAATCCTCAACTTTGTACACTTTGTCCTTTCAATCATAGAATTTCTTGACCATAAGCAGCTCCAAAGTGGATATTCACATAGTTTGGCATACCAATCATGCTCAAGGAAAGCTTGGCCAGCAATGATGCCCATGTCCTGAAATCTTGGCCTTGGCAGAAAGATACTGCAGTAATTATTCATGCCAATACATTTTTCCATCAGGTAGCAAGAAGATACCCAATCAGCTTTAGAATGAGGCTCATGAAAAGACAAGTCTGCCAGTTTATGCTGGGCAGAATTCCATAGGATTGCATTCTACTGCTCATCAAAACAGTCAAGAGAGATATTATTGTAACATTTTATCCACCAATGTGACCTAATGCAATTCACTAAAAATAATCAGTTGGTACAAAAACATAATAATATTAATATATGATGAAATACTAGAAAGCCACTTAACAGTAACAATTAGGGGGCCAGATGGGAATGGATGACGAATTATTGCCGCCAATCATACCAAAAGATCCTTGAAGCAACGAATTTGCATCAGTAGTAAGAAGCTATTCGTGCTGTACCAATTACCAAAACAAAAATTAATCGACCAGATCCTCTTCAATTTTAGTATGTATAATAGATTATAAATTTGACTCACATGAACTTATCTTCATTGAATGTGTAAACCACAACAGAGGTAATTCTTACATAAACCATGACAAGTAGAACTGGGCAACCAAGCATTGTTGTGTGAAAGTACACTCAGATCATGAACTTGCCATGTAATAATTTCACCAACAAAAGAAAGCATACGAGTAAGAAAATTGCAGTGAAACTGACAGCCCTCATAAGATCCCCGAGAAGCCCAATTACTGTAATCTATGCGTCTCCAACATAACAGAGGGTTCGTTGAATTATAAATAATATGAATCACACCTTATCATCATTGAATATTCAAACCATAGAATGGCGAATTCATTTATAAGGATTTATAAAGTCATAAAAAACAAGGAACAGGCAATCAATAATTCATTCTTTGAAATCATAAACTCAACAAATCTTAAAAAAATGTGATTAAAATCAATTATCAATTGACGCAACCTCAGTCAAGAAAAATATAGAAGAATTCACCTTTATCATATGCAGAGCCTAATTAGGTCTGAACATTAAGTTTCTTGACCGCAAGCAGATCCATACTGCATATTCACATAGCTTGGCAAGCTAACCATGCTCGAGTTCAGTAGTTATGGCCAAGCCCTCAAATCTTGACCTTGGCAGCAACCATACTTCTATCATAATTTATTCATGGCCATGCATTTCCATCGAGTAGCATGCCAACACCCAATCAGCTCCAGAATGAGGCTCATGGGAAAAACAAGACACTGGAAAGAACTTGATAGTGCTGCATTCTCCACTGCTCATCAACTGGTACAGAAAGATATTTTTTGGAATATTGTATCCCCATCTCTGAACCTATCCAACAGTAAATAGAATCAAAAGCTATTGCCAAAACACATTAACAAAGTCAATATATGAAATACTAGAAAGCTACCTAACAGGAACATTGAGGGAGCAGATGGAGATGATGAGTTACTCCCACAAACCATATGATTCTTTCTACTTGAATGTTTAAGCAATTACTTATATATGCATTGAATCAGGATTGCCTACGGGATGTTGCAAACAAATTAAGCAAATCAACATCATGATTAATTTTCTTTTTTTATAACAATATCATGAGTAATTTTCACAAATCATAAAAGCTAGAACAGGGCAACCAGAGGCAGCATTATGTAGAACTACAAGTACGCTCAAAATCAAAATTTAATAATCAAATGGTCAATCCTCTTAAATTGTAGCAAGTATAATAGACTATAAAATTTTAAATTACAACTTATCATCGCTGATTATGCAAATCACAACGAATGTATCATTTATACAGATCATGAAAAGCACAAGTAGAATAAGGCAATCAGACAGCATTATCTGGAAATGGGTACACTCACATCATGAACTTTGCATATAATAATTTCTCTGAAAAAAGAATATGATAAAGAAAATTACTGTGGAAGCGGCATCCCGAATCATGTGTGTACGATCCTTAGATTACTTTCTGATTGATTTGGATGTTATGGATGTGAGCTATCTTAGGCCAGTCCTCTCCACACTCTCTCTCACACCTCTTTTCCAGATCTGGACATAAGTCAATCTCCAACTCTTTCAGCATCTTGAGACTCTGTATCCCGTCCGGCAAAGACATCAAATTACGGAAGTCCGTAATGCTTAAGCGTGAAAGGGACGTGAGATATCCAATCTGATTTGGCAGACGAGATAATCCATCGCAAAGAGAGATTGTTAGAGATCGGAGAGAAGTGAGGTGTTGGATACTCTCTGGCAATGCATTCAACTCTGGACATCCATCAAGTTCCAAATTCTCCAGTGCCGTCAGATGTCGAACTCCCTCAGATAGAGAGGCCAGTTTACCACAATATCCAACAGATAAGTTGCGAAGAGAAGATAAGCCACACAATCCATTGGTTGGCAGAGAATTTAATCCATAACAAGCAATAATATCCAATGTCTCCAAAGAATTGAGATTCCAGAGACCTTCTTCCGGCAAGCTTTCAAGTTCATGACAATTGCTAATTTGTAAGGTTTTAAGAGAAGATAGGTTATCAAATATTTGATTTGACAATGACTGGAGATTTAGAAGAGAATAAATTTGCAAGCGCTGAAGGAGGGTAAGGTTTTGCAACAATCCATCGGGCAGAAGCTTTAAATTGGGAATGAATTTAATCTCAAGGGAGGCCAGGCTGAGAGGATATTGGAAATTCCTCAAGAAGATGGCATTGACCATTTTAAGGACTAATATTTTGAGGGATGGTACAATTGGCTTTTCAACCAGCATAGGGCAATCCCACACCTTCAATTCTCTAAGGACAGGAAAAGTCGCTCTTTCGGCAACTCTTGCCCATACCTTTAAGCTCTTCATTCCATAAAGACTCAGAGTCTCCAGAGATGGGAATGGATTTTCCCCATCTCCGTACACTTCAGTGTCAATGCACTCTACACCATCCATTCCACGTAATTCAAGATTCTTGAGGAACTGTAGTTTCCCAAATGGTGGAAGTTGTTCACTATTGCCACACCCTTCTAGGCAGATTCCCACTAGATTTGGTACCAGCAAGTTGAAGTTCATCATCCAATTTGGGAATTCTGAACCTCCATATCCAATTATACTCAGCTTCTTCAGATTTGGATGAGGTTGAAGGCCAGTGAGGACCCCTTCAATGTTTTCCCGGATAACACTGCTATTAGAAAAGTATTCTCCATTCCCATACCAAGACAAACTCAGTGATTGAAGATTTGCCTTCTGCATCAAATTGGCACTCTTGGCATCTGTTAAATCTTTAACATTACCAATATTTGTTATCCTCAATTCGCCGCCCAGATAATTCAAGCTCTCCAGCTCCCGTATACGATGACCATTTTCTTCACCCACGATGAACAAGCTAAGCTTTCGCAGGCAAATCAATTCTCCCATTCCAGCAGCCATGCAACGAAGTGCAGAACAACCTCTGATGTCAAGATACATGAGATTTTTCATGTGCCTTATACCTTTCGGTAACTTAAGCAGATACCAGCAGTCTCTCAAATTCAGAGTTTGCAAGTTTTGGAGGGAGGTGATTGATTCAGGTAGTGTCTTGATGAAGGAGCCGGAGACATCAAGATACTTTAGCTGTTTCAAACTACAAACGGACTGGGACACTATCTTAACAACATGAGAACCACTTATATCCAAGACTCTTAGATGCTTTTGTTTAGAGAGAAAATTTTTACTCCTTCCATAGCTATCATAATCATCTCGCAGAAAAACTGATCGCAATGATCGGAAATTGAGACATTTGCGATCAGACCAACCACCATATCCCTTCCATAAACCCACATGACGAACAGTTCTGGAAATGCCCAGCTTGTTCTTGCTCTCGACCGAACAACATTCATCTACCATAATTGATTGTGCAAGATCATGCATAAGATCATGCATCTTACATGTTATGTTGCCTTCTTCATCCTCCTCAACCTCTTGAAAAAATGATCTGCCAACTAATTCAGTAAAAATCTCCTGGCCCTTGTCATGCAAATCCATTTGCCCTTTGCAAGAAATGAAGCCATTTGCCATCCACAAAGCTATCAGCCTGTCCATCTCGATGACGCTATCTTTGGGGAATATTGAGCAAAATGCAAAGCATTGCTTCAAATGTGGTGGAAGGTTAGTATAACTTAACCTCAAGGCAGGCAAAATCTCTTTCTCCTCTCCTTGTAAATCCCAAATCTCACTCTCCTTGATAGATAACCACTCGCTTTCTTTTTTCTTCAAGCACATCAGCTTTCCAAGTGCCTTTATAGCTAGAGGAACCCCACCGCACTTGTTAACTATTGCTCTCCCAATTGCCTCCAAGTTTACATAATCTTCTCTCCTTTTTATCCCAAATGCAAATCGCTCGAACAAAAGCCAAGAATCA